TCATCTAAAAAGTATGACCCATTAATACCCATGATGGCTACATGATTTATGGAGACTTGAGTTAATATGAACTCGCATCCCCATATCAGTGCTCAATACTACTCCCAAAATATACTTAGCTCATATGTTTTTAAAACAACTTCTTTCTTTGGTTTGAGGTAATTACTCAAAACTTAGCTTAAAAGCTTCTTGGAATCGATGTTCCCTTTTCTTGCTCAAATGTGAAAACATTTATAAACTCTTAGGGAATACTTAGTTCCCTTATAGCTTCTTTGAGAAATGAACTCAACATCTTTAGTCTTAGCTTAACTTGAAACTTTTAGCTTAAAACAAAGTTAAGACATTTGTAAAAGACCCTTGAAAACTTTGATGACTTCACTTGACTTGACTCTTAACTTTCCTTGAATTGAATTATGGATTCAAGGATTATGATTTGTGATAGGAAAAGTCTCTTGATGTTTAGGAATGATTTCGAATAGCTAAACTTGCGAAAACTTACGAAATCACCGTCTTGGAACAAGTCCGCGACGCGGAGATGCTCCTAAATAAATGCTCGGGAAATTAAATTTTGAGACAGTGGAGTCCGCGTCCTCTCCGTGATGCAGAGCAGATTTTTGTTCACAGGGGGAACAAGTCCGCGACGCGGACTTGTTTCATGAACCTTACTCGACTTTTTCCTTCTTTGTTTTTCAGCCTCAATCCACCTAAATTCGATTATCTTCCTCAAATTCGTTTTAAATCCCGATGCCCAGCATGTATACTCAAGAAACTAACTCAAAGCAACCCTAAACTCAATGTAAGGATTTCATAAACTTCCCAATTCGTCCTAATTCGCTAACAACATTTGAATTCAAGAATATTTGTCAAGAACATCAATTTTCCAACTCTTCTTGGACGAACTTCACTGAATTAAACATGCTTGGTGCGTGGGTGAATGACCCCAACGCTATGAGAGATTCACATACTTGGTGGGATCAAATCCTTGAAGAAATCCGAGATCAAATCCTTTCGAAATGATGAATCTCGCTTTTCCTCGTCTCTTTTCTCTTGTGTTCTTTCTCCAAAAACCCTAACTTTATTTTTCAAAAGCGTAAACTGAACCCAGTCAGTTTAGCCCCTAAAAATATTACCAAAAATGAATAATTAAGTTGGGTAAGGAAAAGACCAAACTACCCCTTAAAAATCCGGATTGGACTTTCTTTTTTCCAACAATCCAACTTCCAAAGGCCATAACTCACTCATCCGAACTCGGAATTTCCCAAACTTGGCGGCGTTGGCAAGATTATTTCAAGGGATTTCCAACCATATCTAGAAATATACCTAACTCATCCTGAGCTAGAAGTTATGGTCGTTTGAAGTTGACCAAAAACTCACTTTAACTTGCTTAAAAATTTTCAGATTTCCTTATACGTTCCAAAAATGACTATTTCGAGATTTTAAACTTCTTTCTAGTTATTTCAAATTGCGAGATGTTACAGTTATTATTACACGAACAAAGTGATTCAAATAAGAGAAAATTTGATTATATATCTTATGTGAGGTAGGGTAGGTAAGACTAAAGTAAAGGATTTTGTTGAACTTGGACCTAGGATTGTAATAGTAGGGCTAAAATTTAAGTGTTGAACTTGAGAAAATGGTAAAGTTAAAGACCTGAGTTAATTAAAATTTAACAAAATATTTATATTTTATCTATGAATAATATACAAATAATTATGAAATTTATATATCTAATTTATAGTTCGGTTTGGTTACTTTTGCGGTTATTTTTTAGTAAAACCAAAACTAAACCAAATAGCATCGGTTTTCAAAATTTAAAACCAAACATAACCAAATCAAACACCCAATATCAATTTTTTTAATTGAATTAATTAGGATTGCGGTTTGGTTTACTTTTATAACCATAATCATGAACAACCCTAGCTAAACTGATAATACATTGAGGGTGCAAAATGTTATTAACTCGTAGATATGTGGTGTATAATGTTTCTACTAGCTAGCATTTCACATTTAATTAAAATCTATATAAAGACTACAAATTCTAAATATTTTCTCACCATTTTTTTCACAACGTATTGCTATTCTTAAGAAGTAGAAAATATGGGTTTGAAAGGTAAGTTGATTGCTTTAATGGAGATGAAGTGTGGAGGAGACTCATTTTTTGATATTCTTCACACCAATACTCATTATGTACCCAATTTAAGTCCTACAAATGTCGTTCATTTTGGGATTCATGAAGGTGAAATCATAAAGCCTGGTTCGATCGTTAGTTGGAAATATAACGAAGGTAACACACGATTTTTTTCGAGTTAATATCTCAGATGGTCACTCAACTATGAACTATTTTCTCAGAAAGTACTCAACTTTGGTTTTTAATTCAAAAGTCATTCAACTATGGATTATTTTCTTTGAAAGTCACTCAACTACAGTTTTTTCTTAAAAAGTCACTCAACTTTGAATTTTAACTCAAAAATAACTCAATTATGAATGTTTTACTTACAAAGTCACACAACCATGAGTATTTTACTTACAAAGTCACTAAACCTATTCAATTAATTTTTTTAATTAAAATTTACTTTAATGAAATTTTATTCCTAAGCAAAAAAAAAGTATCCATTTGTACTGCCAATTATACTATGCGTAAAAATATCCAATTTCACCGTCAATATACAATACTTAATATATATTTTTCAAACTGGAACCATGGAATTTAAAGGTTCTTAAAATAATTAATCCTAACTATTATATTTGGGGGGAAAGGTAAAATAAAAGGATCACTATTATATTTTTAGTGGATCAAGTCAAGTAGGTGGGTCATCTTTTTATAATTTTAGTTAGAAATAAAAATTTCATGTAAGTAAATTTTAATTAAAAAAATAATTAATTAAATAGGTTGAGTGACTTTCTGAAAAAGAACTCATAGTTGCGTGATTTTCTGAGAAAATAAATCATAGTTGAGTGACTTTTGAGTTAAAAATCAAAAGTTGAGTGACTTCTGAGAAAAGAATCAATAGTTGAGTGACCATCTGAGATATTACCTCAATTTTTTTGTACTCTATCTCTCTCTCAATATGATTTACTTGCATAAATTTTCTCTATTCAGGAGTATTTGATAATAACTAATAAGAAAGTTACTCCTTCTGTCCCTAATTACTTGTCCATTTTGACAAATCAAGAAAGGACAATTTCTTTTTACCTATTACACCATCAATTAATTACTTTGAAAAAGGTAGAACTTTTTGAAAATTTTAAGTTTTTAATCCATTCACTTCATAATTAATAGGGTTAAAATGGTAAACTCACTATGTCAATTATTGTTTTCTTAATAGGTGTGTCAATTCAAAAATAGACAGGTAATTAAGGACAAAGGGAGTAATTTTTAAGAAAATAATCTTCATGAAAAAAATATTCGATGGTGTTTGATTTTCATAAATATAGTACAAGTAAATCCTTTTGCTTCAACAAAGGAATATAACTTCTTTTGCTAATGGGTGGAAGAAATTCTTAATTAAAATTATTTTAACTTTAATTCTTAATTAATTTTTTTTTAACTTTTACATTTTTTTCTATTGGCTCCAACTAACACTTAAACATTACTTACTAATCTTTAGTAATAAAAAAATTCATCAAAGTAGTAATAACATCACAACTATTATTTTCTCACCAAATAATATTTTGTAAATGTTTAAATTTTTCATAAGGTATTGAACAGTTGAACTAGTGATAACGAGTTCTTATATTTTCTGTTTTTATTGATTATAGCTGGACAGGAAATGTATATGAAGCAATTAATTGAATCCGTCGATACTCACAAGAAATCAATCAAATGGAAAGTTATTGAAGGAGATCTATTAAAGTTGTATAATTACTTTAATGTTATAACATCTTGTGAAGGCCAGTGGACTACTTGGACTATTGAATATGAAAAGAAAACTGAAGATACTCCAGAACCCCTCGTTCACTTTGGTGTTGTCCTTGCCATGATCAAGGATATAGAAGGTCGCCTTGTCAAGAAATAGTGTGTATATATATACACACACATTAGAAATAAGTGTGTTTGTATGATGAATAATTTGCGAGTTCTAGCTAGCATGTGGAATAATAAATAATATAATGTCTATGTGACTATGTCCATACACATTATAAGTATGTGTGTGTTTGGTGATGAATAATTTGCGAGTTCTAGCTAGCATGTGGAATAAATAATATTGTTTTTGATGAATATGTTGTACATGTCACTAGTACTAATATCATGCACAAAAGAATAAACATATATAAACTGATCAATTCCTTTAATAATCATAGCAGAAGAATACTAAGATGGCACATTATCTGCCAGAAAATAACTAATTCCGAACGATTACACAAGAAAGACGTAGCAATCGTCTGCAATTTCCTTCGAAGCCTGTAAAAGTAGACATTTAAACTTTTATAAGTTAAACAGACACATTTGTCTTATATGGCATCTTACGTACGTGTATTATGCCACGTAGGACATGTGTCTCTACTTGTTCAATTTTATACAAGTTTAATTATCTACTTTTCCACATCTAAAGTTAGAGGGAATATATGTCAGCTGAAGCTAAATTAAAAGACATATTTATGTACTATGTCATTCAAGTTCTATGTATTAATATTTATATCTAGATCTTTCTTACATATCACTTTATTTTATTTTATATATCTATATGGGAGCGTATGTGGTGTTGAAAATTAAGCTATCTCAAATGACATATGATTATAGCATATATATATAAAACTTTTAGAATCATATGATAAGAGTGATTATATTCACGTGAAGAATATATTCAACCCTAGAGCCAAATGTCTTGATGATGAACTTGAATGGTTTTCACTATTGCATTCTTAGATTTTGAATTCAATTGACCACTTTTTGCTTTGGTCATATCTAAATAAAAACACAAATATAAAGAGGAGAGAAATTATAAACTTGAGTACTTTCATGAGACACATCCGTTAGTATAACATTTATTCAACACAAATAAAATATTTGGTTACATCATCATAAGGAAATGGATCTCGAGCCTAATATAATCGCAAAAATTAACATAAAAGAAAAAGTGTTTATTTAAGTTTTATAAGGAGTCCGGACCATGGGTATTTGCCTGTCACTTATGTAGTATTCCATTCTATTAATCCCCCCAAATCCAAGTATTTCAGTGTTAGGTCTGGGGTGAAAATACCCACGATCCGGACTTGAATTTGAATTTCTATATTCTAGATGGGAAACTAAAAAAAATAAGATGTCATTTAGTTTTCCCATCTCACTAGTTAGAGGAAACTTTTTTATTTCTTTCAAGTGTTTCAAACTTTATTCAAGTATGTATAACATACATATATGATTCACAATAGCTTTATTTATGGACTTATATTAAGGAATACTAAAGGGTGTCGTAAATATGAAAATAACCATTTAGATCATGAGGAAGGTTATAAAGATGTACTGAGTTACAATCATAATAGCGAGAAGTAATGGAAGTAACATCTTAGAAGTTATGGACATGTACCAACCATGCACCATAATTATAATATTCAATTATTATAAGATGTGTGATATTTTATTTGTTATTTTATTTCATATTTTGCAAAGTCTAAAAAGATATTATTTTGTGGTTGAGATATGACATCCTTCATTTATAATTTTATATCTCACACAATAGACATGTGCCAATAGGTATTAGGAAAAGAAAATTAAACAAATAGATATGACATCCTTCATTTATAATTTTATATCTCACACAATAGACATGTGCCAATAGGTATTAGGAAAAGAAAATTAAACAAATAGATATGATTTATTTTCTGCATTAGGCCTGTGCTATAATGAAAATTATATTATATTTATAAAAAATTATATGATGTAAATAAGTTAAAAATTATGTTAAATTTCGATGTTAAATTTTGAACATTTTTAATAAAATTTCTAATTTCGATGTTGACAATTATTTGTTCTTATAAAAATATTTGTTTATTCTATCACACTTTGAAGGAATATGTATGATACCTTGTAAGTTCTTTTTAAAGGTAATTTTGCTATAAAAGTAAAAGGTTAGGTAACAAATTATTTTTTAAAAATAGGTTAAGGTGTGAATAGCTAAAATGATGATACATTAAGGGTGTAAAATGTTATTAACTCGTAGATATGTGGGATAATGTTTCTACTAGTGTAACATCCCAGAAAATTTTTCGAACTGAGACTCGAACCATCCTTCGTTGTGAGTAGAATTTTACCGAGGAAATTAAATTTCTTGAGTATTAAGGTCACTAGATGTAGCACCTTGAGTTTCAAAAAGAATTAAATTGGAAATAGCAAAATCTGAAATTTTGCAAGTTATGCTTAAGTATGAGTTTTGGGTAGACTTCAAATGACCATAACTCCTAGCTCAGGATGAGTTATATGTTCTACCAGTTACCGTAGGAAAGACCTTTGAATTTATAATTTCCAACGCCACCGAGTTTGCTCAGTTTCGAGGTCGGATGAGTGAGATATGGCCTTTTGAAGTTATGTTGTCCAGTTAAGGAAAGTTAGCCGAAAATAGGAAGGGGTATTTTGATCTTTTCTTTACCCAATCAGCTTTAATTCGATTTTAGTAATATTTTAGGGGTCTAATCTGATTAGGTTCAGTTTTATAATCCTAGTTTACGCCTAGGGTTTTAGTTGAGAGTTCAAGAAGAGAAAATTAGAGAAAAGAGGAGAGGATCAAAGCGTTCGTCGA